GCCGCCCCGCGGGAGACAAGAGAGGAGCCCCCACAACCAGGTGTATTCTTTTTTTGCTTGGGCGGACCTGATGCCGGGGTAGGTAGGGTAGGTCTGGGCCCTCCCGTCGGGTTTTTCCCTCTCTTCAAGCTGGAATTTTAAAAAAGAAATTTTCCGCGGAAATCACGATGTCAACCCTCCCCAAATGGGTGATCTGATGCTTGTAGGGCTTGAGAGTGGCCTGCCATGTCACAAGAAGGACTGTGGTTGCAGGAGAGTACCACCAACCATCACTCTAGTTGTGAGTGAGTGAGTATTCTTGATACGAAACCACGACGACACACACCAGTCGACTCGCATCGGTTGCCTCCATGAACGGCGGAGCTATTCTCGCGCCCACACCACACCTGGCTCCAACGTGGACACGCCCATAGCTGGGGACACTACTAGGTCACGCATGGCATCACAGAAGTTTTATCTCTGGGCCCCGAAAGGCATCTCTAGCAGTGTCGTTACACATGCCCCCTCCCCTCCTGGGCGCATGCGCCTCACGTCTCGCCAGAGCATAAGCCCTTGGCGTGTGGCGAGACGAGTTTTTCGCCATCGCCACACACACTCTCACACTCACTCACTCTAGTTGGTATAGTACCCCACCTTCACCCTTCTGATTTCTTTTTTAGTTTCCCATAAGTAAGTAAGGTAGGTAGGTAGGTAGGTAGGTAGGGGCACCGCAGGGGCCGGCCAGGTTTTTGCAGAATTTCTCAGCAAGAAAAAGAATTTTACAACAAAACTCCCTCGCACAACACTGGGCACAGGACTGGGCACGGGACTGGCTCGCACTGGCACTAACACAGGTACACCACGGGAGCCGCCTAAGCGACTCCTGCGAGGGTGGCGAGGCACTTAGCTCCGTGCACCCGCCCACCCCCGCCACAGGCAAGCTCATTCACGACCTGCTCTGCGATGGCCGTGTGAAGAACGACTGAGATGCGCTGCTTCTGCAGCCCCAGCCAGCTCTTGGTGGTCCAAGTCACCTCATCGAGGTACTGGGCCCGCGTCAGCTTGTTCTGTAGCACGTCCGCCGCTCTCCGGAGGATCTCACGGACCCCCTTTCCGAACCCGCCGAACGATTCGAACAGCAGCAGCTGCACTTCGACGCCCTTGTCTTCCCGGCGAGC